GAGGGGCGCACACACCCCTCCCCCGTCTGTCGGCGGCCCTCGAGGCACCCCTCCCCGCCCCCATGCGGGGCGGGGGGTGCCACCTGCCCGCCCCTCTCGGCGATCCACCGCAAGTTCCCCGTCTCCTGGCCTCTGTTTCTCCGCGGACCTGGGCTGTCTGTATCCAGCGCTCACCTCGCCGCCCGCACCCCTGCCGGCGTTTCTGCAGACCGGGAGCGCCCTCTGGTGCCTACCCGGGGTCGCGGCGCGTAAGGGTGTACTGGACAGGGCGCGGGGCAGCACCCACTTATTACACTGGACACAGAGGCTACCCTGAGAGGTCACGGCTGTGTCTTCCCTGAGAATATCGTCTGTCCCTGTGGGCGCTCGCTGTATGCAACCCTTTGACAGCTCATTCAGTCGTTAGCTGGCTGCATGCAGGCTGGGATGTGACTTGAACCCTTGGCCCACCTCAGGGGCACAGGCTTGAACAGTGTCCTGTGCTATGTGTCGGGCCAGAGCAGGTCTGGGAAGCTCCCTGCGGAGGACACGCTTGAGTGGGGACTTGAATAATGAGGACGTAGTTACAGCAGGAAGGGTCTGGCGCGGGTAAATGTTCAGAGCTACTAGCCTGGTGGGGGAGGATACACCAAGGCTGGACTTGACGAAAGGTCCTGGGAGCCTAGGGAGGCTGGTGAGGCAGAAGTAAGGTTGGCAGACCCTTGGACTGCAGGGCAAGAGACCCTGAGTCAGCCAGCCTGGGGGCTGGGCAGGGCCTTTGAGTGGACCCCCACCTGTCCCAATCTGGAAGGAGTCTGAGGCCACAGAAGGCACCAGTCTATCAGTGGGGAAGGGGCCCTGGAACAGGTGTATTGTCCATGAAATGGAGGACAACACTGGAGGGAGGGGCATGGTAGGCCCCTGGACTGGGGGGAGGGGTATACTCTCCTCCTCCCTGAACAGGGTCATTCAGGGGCGCTCAGCTGGGACGGTCCACTTCCCCACACTCCTTGGAGGCTGAGGCCCCAGGGTCAGTACATGGAGGGTCAGCTTGAGGTCAGCATTGGGATTGGGGGTTCCCAGGCAGCCTGAAGAAAGCAGCCAGTCAGGCCAGGCTGGCGCCCCTCTGTGATCAGTACTTTGTCAGAAACAGGTCTAAATCATGGAGAACTCGCAAGAGGGGAGCGGGGATCCTGGAAGAACCATGGGGTTCAGCTGCCCCATGCAACAGCAAAAGGTAAGTTCTTCCTTAAGTCTGACCACACTGTCATGTGAGCCGCTTTCCTCCAGCCTGCCTCTCAGGGCCCCAATACCCACCCTCTCATCTGGGCACTGGTCCAGGAGCCCTCAAGCCTGTTGGCAGTGAGCAGTGGAGCTGGGCTCCTGTTGACCACTCCCCACAGTTCCTGTTGGGGTCTTGTCCTCAGGGCAGGGTCCTGTCGAGCTGGCAGGCCGGTGTTGCTCAATGCCAGTCCGCTCCTCTCAGGACTCACGGGCTCCAGCCCAGGGGGCCTCATCCTTCTGGTTGGGCCACCTAGTATCCCTGGGCCACTTTCTCCTGGATGCTGCATTTGTCCCCTAAGAGCTTCAGTGAGGAGGAGAGAAGGGGTCCCAGGAGACTGGTCTCAGCCACAGAGGAAGCCCAGCCCAGCAGGAGACCCCTCTGCGGGATCTGGTTTCCTTCTTTGGAAAGTGGCAGGAATACCCTCAGCCTACAATGTGTTGGGAATGAGTTTAGGGAGTTGCCTGTGTACCTTGCTGTGACAACTATCACCTCTGACCCCCACCAGGGGCTCTAGGGGTGCTGGGCCACCCCTGGGGAGGGCAGGGTGGCAGTTCATTTGTACAAAGGGGCCACCATCTCTGATGTGATGATAAGGCTGGAGGGATGGCCGGATGCCCTGCACCTGCCCACAAAGGCAGGGGTGGCTCCTGCCTCACGTCCTACCGGCAGCCCTGAGATAGCATCAGCCCAACCGGAGGGCCATCCGTCTTGTCCCACAAAGGCCAGGACAAAGGCCATGTCAGCAGCAGCCTCCCCGCCCTGGTCAGTGGGGGCCGGGGCCTTCCTGTGCCAGGCAGCCAAGGCCCAGGCCTGAGGCTCCATCAGGGTCCTGTTTGGAGCACATGGAGAGCAGCCGTCATTGTTCACAGGGCCAGTTAGGTGGAGGCCACACCTGGGGCGGGAGCAGGACTCCAATAGTGAGGAAGCGTCAGCCCTTCATTTGGGTACCCTGGCCCCCTGTTAGCAGCCTGTGTTGCACTGGGGTACCCACAGAGGAGTCCCTGGCCCTAGGTGACAGCCTGGGGTCTGGGTTGACTGAAGCCCCTGAGAAGCCCCTGGCTGGTCTGCACAGTCAGAGGCACCTTCCCGCAGAGAGTGGTGGCAAGAGGAAGACATGATTCCAGAGACCCTGCAGCCCCTTGGTGCCCACTCACCCCTGTGGGGATCGTCCATGGACCCCACCTCTCATGGCTTGGCCCCCCCCCACCCCACCTGCCCTCCAGAGCTTCTCACTAGGTGCCCAGGGAGTTTCAGGTGGGCCACAGACCATCCTCACTATCCTCAATTCATCCCATGTGCCATCGTCACTGCCATCGGGGAAACCTCACACCTTGAACTGTCCTCAGAGCCACCTCATGGCCCCTCACTAACCCCCAGAAATTGCTACCCAGAGCATCCTCTCTCTCACAATACTGTCCTGCAGTGTCCTCACTGTCTCCCCCCGTGTCTTCACTGTCTCCAGTGTCCTCGCTTTCCTGTGTCCTTGCTGTCCCCACAGTGTCCTGTGTCCCTAGTGTCCTCACTGTTTCTAGTGTTTTCACTGTCTCATAATGTCCTCAATGTCCCGTGTTCACTCCCCAGTGTCCTAACTGTCTCCAGTGTTTTTAGTACCCGTGTCCTCATTGTCCCCACATTGTCCTCACTCCCCAGTGTCCTTGCTGTTCACACACAATCCTCACTGTCCATAGTCTTCACTGTTTTCAGAATCCTCACTATCCAAAGTTTTCTCTGCCTCTCCAGAGTCCTCACTGTCCCCCAAATGTCCTCACTGTCCCCACAGTGTCCTTACTCTCCTGTGTTCCTCACTACCCTGTAGTGTGTCACTGTTGTTTGTTTGGGTTTTTCTCTGCCTTCCCTCTTGAACTCCTGTGAGAGTCAGTGGCTAAGGAGAGTTTATTCACTGACCTCCTTTGCTTGGAGTTATTTGGGGTGTATGAAGATGTGATGTGTCCCCTTGAACCACCTCCCAGGATTTTTTCTGTGGTTTGGGGAAAAGAGTTCCCAGGTGGAGGGTATAGAGATGGTTCAGATTGGGAGAAGGGGTTTATTCCTCACTGGAGTTTGGGGGTGGGGGGCGCAGGGTGTGGGCTGAAGTTGGGCCCGAGGACCTGCCTAAGCATCCAGGGCATGGGCTCGTAGCGCTAGGGGTGGGCATGCAGCAGTTGGGATCCCATGAACTGGGGTCCGCAGGGGGTGGCGAGCCTGGGAGATGGGACTTGGGTGGAGAAGAGCGGGTCCAAGCTAGGGCGAAGACTCCTCAGGGCAGGGTCCTGTCGAGTTGGAAGGCCCGCGTCGCTCAACGCCAGTCCGCTCCTCTCAGAACTCACTGGCTTCGCCGAACTCCGACACCAGCGGGGCGGTCAGTGACAAGCGGTGCGCGGCGCGGGCGCTGGCTCGCAGCCTCCGCAGGCGGCCTAGCAGCAGGGCCAGCAGCAGTGCGTGCAGCAGCCCGAGGCCGAGCAGCACAAGCTGTGCCGCCAGCGCCCCCCGGCAGAGCGCTCCGGGCGTGCAGGCTGCGCGCAGCTCTTCCTCGGCCAGGTAGGACAGCACGCGGCCACGCAGCTCGAGGGGCGCGGCGCAGCGCAGCTCGCGGTAGAGTGCGCGCTCCGGGCGGCCGGCCAGCCAGGCACGCAGCGGCACCAGGCGGCAGTCACAGCGCCAGGGGTTGGCGCCTAGATGCACGGCGCGCAGCACGGGCAACGCATCCAGCAGCCCCGGTGGCAGCGCCGTCAGGTTGTTGCCCGTCAGCACCAGTTCAGTCGTGTCCGGTGGGAAAGCGGCAGGCAGCGAGGCCAATGTCAGACCACGGCGCCCGCAGTCCACTTGCGTCTCGGCGCAGCGACACGGCGCAGGGCAGCCCGCGGCGCAGCGGCTCGGCAGCGCGAGCAGCAGGAGTAACAGGCTCAGCGCCCCGCGCGGCCCTGAAAGGGAAGCGCCGCGGTGAGCCAGGCGGCCTGCAGGGCACCTAGGTGGGGGTCCATCAGCACCCGGAGTGCCGAGTCTGGCTCCAGACCTGGAGGAGGCCCGCGGCCCCCACCCCCCTACCCTCTGGCATTGTACGCAAACCTCGCCACCCCGACCACCTCGCGTACTGGCTTAAAGTCCCCTCTAAGTCTGACCTAAATCTCTTCCTTCTGCAGCCAAACTCACCAGAGACCATGGCGAGAGAATGGCGGCTGGCTTGCTCTGGAGAGGGCGGCTTTTGCTAGAGAACCAGGCGATAAGGCCGCCCCGCTCTTGCCAGGCCGCGGTGCTCCGGCTGCACCCACCACAGCGCAGCCGCCCCTCCAGAAATAACCCCAAGGCGGTCCGGACAGGCGCTGCGGACGCAGATACAGCGCTATCGCCAGGGCCCGCGATGTTCGCCATTTCCGCCCCCACTCACTCTGCAAGGAGCAGTTGGACACCCGCTGCGACGTTTACCAACATTGTTCTGTCACCAGGACAGGACTTGCCATTCAAAACTGAACAAAACTGGAGAATGGGGCTTGGGGAAAGATTCATGCCGGTGGAGGGGTGGGTGGGGGGGCAAGGGCTAGAGAACCCAGGGCAACAGTGCTGCTGGGAAGAAGGGACCTCCAGCGACAGGTGAAGAACGCAGACTAGGCATGAGGATTGCTAGGGGATGGTCCACTGCCCACTGCTCCTGGAGCCCTCGCAGGCCACAGCCATGGGGGCGGGGCATAGGTTATCACAGGCACACCAGCCATCCTCTGCTTGCTGCCTTAGGTCTAGAGGGATCCTAAGTGCTTCTGCAAACCCACCTGCCCCATGAGCTACCGGGTGAGGAAGGAAGAAAGGACCTAGCCCATATCCACACAAAGTGTGATAACATATGCTGGGCTCCAGTTGGAGCAGGGGAACAGGGCTCCTAAGTCCTTGCTGTGGCAGTGGGGTGGGGGAATAGGTCCGAGATCCCAGGGATCTGCTCCCTATTCTGCTGTGGTTTACCCGCCTGCCTGAGTAGGGCCTGGAATCTGAGTGCTGTGACCTTCTGGAGTGGGAGAGATCTCAAAAGTCATAGCCCAGTCTAGCTCCTGCTCCCACAAGGCCAGAGGGCGCCTGTTGTGGGGGCTGTTGCCCAGGCCCGTGGAAACAGATACAAATGAGGGGAGGGGCTGATGCTGAGAATAAATTAGGGTTGGTTGGGGGCTGTGCTGTGACCCCGAGTCTCCAGGTCAGGATGGGAAAGGTCCAGGTTTAGGCCACTCTGGGATTGGGGTTGCGTCCAGGCCTGTTGGAGATCCAGATGAATCCAGGGTCGAGTCCAGGCTGGTCTAGGTGCAGGGGTGGGTTGGGCCAGCCTGGAAACTGGCAGTATATCCATGGCAGTGTGGGGCTGGGGTGGGGTCACTGGTCCTGCATTTGCTGCTTCATCTTCTGCAGCATCTCCTGCATGCGCCTCAGCTGGAGGTTGGGGAACAGGAACAAAGGAAAGTGGGTGAGAAATTAGATGAGGGGCCTGGCCCAGTTCCTGCTGCTCCAGCCCCTGCTCCTCCCCCACTGCCTCACCAACCTCCTCATCCTTCATCCTGATGAGCTTCTCTGTCTCGGCATCCGGAGTGGGCAGTGGCAAGATGGGGATGGGGCTTTCCATGCGGCTGTCCTGGGTCAGTTTGCTGCAGGATGACAAAAGGGACAGTGCTGTTGGGAGGTTCAGCTGACTCTGCCACTACCAAGGCTGCACTCCTCAGCTCCCACATTTCTGGGCTGGCTCTAGGGAGACAAGGTTCTGGGAAGCCAATTTGGGGACTGGGGCAAGGTTCGTCTAGGTGGGCAGCTAGGACAGGCTTGGTTATGGAGACATGGTTGGGGCCACGAGGTGCAGATCCAGGTGGCGTACCTGGTCATCTGCTGGATGCAGTGTGCACGGTAGTTCTCATAGTGTACGTCACACGTCACATCCTTGAGGTCATGCATGTGTGTGCGGATGAGCATGTTACGCAGCTTCACGAAGTCGCAGTGCGCCTGGTTCTCCACTGTGGAGAAGGAGCAGGCAGTGGGTGGGGTGCTGGCCCACAGAAGTCTTCCCACCACACCCCGCCCCCACGCAGCCCTATGCCTGGACTCACCCTCCACAATGCCCCAGGGGTACAGTCGCCCCCGGACCCGCTGTCCCTTGGCCTCCACCACTGTGTTGCTGCCGATAACCGCAAAGGGCGCACTCTCCTGGGGATGGGCAGGTACAAGGGCTCATGCCCAGTTAGTATGGGTTCAGGGTTAGTGGTTAGAGAGGGGCGTGGGCACTCAGCACCTGGTCAGCCCCTAGCATCACCATCAACGACCTCTTCCCAAAGAGATCTGTTATCACCCCGCCCCACCCTTGGCCTCCCTGCTGCCAGCTGAGGCCACAGCTGGTGCAATTTATACCCTAGGGCCTCTAACCGGCTGAGCCCATGCCTCTTAGTGATGCCCCTGCTGACTCTGGTTAGTGATGCCCCTGCTGACTCTGGTTGGGGCCAAGGGCCTGCCTGACCCTGCTCCTGGCCTGGTGGCCACCTGTTCTCTGGCTTGAACTTGGTCATAACCACTCTAGCTGATGGGGCACCCAAAGCTACCCTCACCCTCTGGAGCACAGAATTCTGGGAGCCAGGGCATGAACAGCCCTCTGGCCATTGGCTGGGCTTTTCTGCTGGTGACCCATAAGGAGACTGAGGAGCAGGGTCAGGGTGGAGGCTTGGCCAGTAGCCGTGGCTTTGGGTCCTGGCAAGTGCTCCATGACTCACTAACCATGTGGGGCCCAAATACACAAGCCAGGCAGAGACATGAGAGACCCTAGCCCTCTCATGCTAAGTAAAAGGGCTCTACAGCCCAAACTAAAGAGCCCTACCCCCACCAGGTCGGTCCTGGGCTCTCAGCTCTTCTCTGGGCCCATGTGAACTGGCCTCCGGTTCCCTCCCCGCCCACTGGGCTGCATGCTTACCTTCAGTTCCCGATCCTGCTGCTTGAAGTCCTCGTCCTCATCTGAGTCACACTCGGGGAACTGATACACATGGATCCCGAACTTGTCAATCTCCTCCCGGATCTGTGGTAGGGCAGGGCTATCAGATTCAGGGCTAGCTACTAGGTCCCTTGGGCCAGATGTGGTGGCACCTGGGATCAGCACCCCTGGTGCTCTCAGCCCAAGTTCTGGGCCAGGTCCCACTGCAACACAGGCTCACCCGCTCCTTCAGCTTCCGGATCTCGCCAGGAACCAGACAGTCAGCTTTGGCAATGAGGGGCACGATATTCACCTTCTCATGCAGAGCCTTCATGAAACCCACGTCCACTGGTCGCAACCTGCAGGGGGCAGCCAGGGTGGCGAGGGGCTGGTGGGGGTGATGATGGGGTTGGGAGAGGGTCAGGGAGGGGATGGCTTTCGGGGGTATGGGCGGGGCTTCATAGAGGTGGGTGGCCCCTGGCCCGAGGACAGTCACGCACCCGTGCCCAAATGGAGAGATGAAGTACAGGCAGCAATGCACCCGGTTGTCTTGGATGTTCTTGCGGTTGAGACCACTCTCATCACGGAAATACTGCTCAAACTGCTGGTCCACATAGTCGGTGATGGGCTTCCAGCTGTGGGCAGGGTTGCATGAGGCCAGGCTGTGAGGGTGGCCCACCAGCCCCAGGGGAGGCTAGGTTAGCCTTGGCAGGGACCATTCCTCAGCCAGGCCTTCCTCACCACTCAGAGTTGTTGACAGCGTCCCCGAAGCCAGGAGTGTCCACAATGGTGAGCTTCAACTTAACGCCCTTCTCCTCGATGTCCACTGTGTGCTTCAGAATCTCTACCGTCTGGCTGATGCGCTCTTTAGGGAAGGGGACATGGATTGGAGGGGACTCTCTGACCCTCACCCCCTTCCTTGGGCAGCCAGGACCCTGTTTTCATCATCCATCCTAATGTTTTGGCCACAAGGCCTGACTGTGGCCTGGGCCACTGCTCCTGAACCCTGAACAGGACAGCCATGCTGTCAGGAGAGAGGCGCGGGGCTGGACCTGGAAGGGCACCCTTGGAAGGGTGTGAACCAGTGCCAGGACAGTGACAGGTCCACTCACCCTCAGCACTGAGCAGCTTCCGGTCCTTGTACAGGTCAGTCAGGAAAAGGCTGTGGACCAGTGTGGACTTCCCCAAGCCTGACTCACCTGCCCACAAGTAAAGTAAAGGAGTTGGGTTAGGTCTGAGGCCCCCACGACGGAGCCTGGCCAACCAATGGCCCCAGTCACCCCACCTAGGAGTCTGGCCCACTCACCTGCCACCATGAGTGTGAAATCGAAGCCCTTCTTCACTGACTTCCGATGCACCTGGTTGGGCAGCGTGGCAAAGCCCACGTACTGCTTGTCGATATCCTGGGGGCAGGGGCGTGGCATGTCAGGGGGTACACTGGGGCTCCTGGGCAGCCGCATGCACTGTCCCCTACCCAGCTCAGGCAAGGTGGCAGCGGAGGACCAAGTCCCCAGGATGGGGTGTTCTAATAGCCGAAAGGGGGGAGGGCCTGTGGGCAAAGACCTGGAGGTGGGAAGGCAGGTTGGGGGGTGGCTGATGAAGGCACCCTAGCCTCTCAGCTTCAGTGAGGGGCTTTGCAGGGACCCAACTCTGTGTGTGTGTGTGTGTGTGTGTGTGTGTGTGTAGATGTCAGGCCACAGCAGACAGTCAAGTGTCCTCACTGAAGGACACCAAAACCAAGTCCCTTCAAACCCTTCACAGGGGGAGAAGCCTCTGCTTCAATATTCACCCCTCCCTGAGTGTACCAGGGGGTGGGAGGCCCCATGTGGCTCCCATCCAGCCGCGGGGGTGGCTGGCTGCTGCAACGGTGGAGCAGGGGCTATTTATAGACAGCAGCGCCGAGCCTCCCCCTCTGGCGGGTCTGGTGCCCACCCGCTGTGGACCCTGGCCCTGTCACATCCCAGAGCCCTGGGGCCTAGCCCCAGTGGGCGCACACACACTGACCCACATTCCACTCCCTTCTCCACACACACCTTGAGCCTCCTGTGGGCCTGGGTCCGCGGTGACAGCAGCTGCTCCACCAGGCGGTCCTGGGGCGCTGCCAGAGAGTCCATCGCAGCGACCCCCCAGACCCTGCCGGCGCCTTGGGACCCCAGACCGGGTCAGGCCGACACGGGCCCTGCGTTCTCCAGGGGCTTAGGCGCGGTATTGCCTCGAAGCCCTGTTTTCGCTCCCGTTTTAGGGAAACGGGAACTGAGGCCCGGAGAAGGGACGTGGCCCACCCGGGGTGCCGCTGACCCTGGAGGCCGCGCGAGCCATCCCCATTGCCTCGGCGGACCCGCCCTGAGCCGCGCGGCGTCGCAGCCACAGCCGGCCCGGCTCTGCACGAGAACCAGAGGCGGGGCTCCAGCCAGAGACCGCCCCGCCCGCGCTGTCGCCGGGAAACGGTCGCCTGGAAATTGGGCCGCGGGCGGAGCCACCGGAAAGCTGCCGCGAAGGGCAGGGCCGAGTACAGGCGCGGGGATAACGCGGCGCAGCGAGTACGAGGAGCCCAGCTGCCGGACCCGCGGCCTCAATCCAGGCATCGGGACAACCAAGGCGGAGAAGGGGGACAGGAGACCGGGTCCCACCCGCGGGCTCAAGGGGTGGGGAATACGGGTGGGGGTCTGTGGCGGCTGCGTCCCACGCCCTCCCCCCCATAGCTGCAGCGTGGCTTCCGCTCGCTAGAGGGCGCCGGAGGCCGCTCCCGTGCCCCACGCGCACCCACGCGGGACCAGCCGCTGCACCCTGCTCTCCTCGCAGACTTTGCAGGAAAACCACCCGCAGTGTCACGGCGCCCGACTACCCACGGACACACCCCTCCTAGCACTGCCCCCTCCCCCTCGAATGTGTGCATGTGTGTTTGTATGCTTGGGGGATTCTTAACCAGCGTGGTCCCCAAGACATATGGGGGAACCGGGAGAGGACCTGGCCCACCTTCCCCACGAATCAGAGCCTACCTCCCCAGCCTGGACCTGCCCCCACCCCCACCCCAGGCCCAAGGAGGCTTGCAGCAGTAAGGAGACCAGAGCACTAGACGCCTACTCGGCCCTACCTCTGGAAATTTGGGAGCTGCGGTCAGCATGTTACTCTACAAACCTGATGGCCACCCATGTGCTGCCACAGCTGTCCCCAGACATCCCCTGCCAACAGAGATTTGGGCGTGTGGAATGCACTCCCTTTGAGCGTCTCTGCCTGCTCTGACCCACAGGACTGGGCACATGAGGACTGGAGAGCTCCCGACAGCTCAGCCCTCACCCACCACGTGGCCACCCCAGGGACCACAGTGGTCTTCTGAACCACAAACCCTCATCACCCCCTCCAGTACCCCACCAGAATCTGAACAAGCCAGCGCCAGCTGGGCAGGAAAGGAGGTCTAACAAAGCTGGGGTATGAAGAGAAGTGCCCCCTGGACTATGTGTGTCAGTAAGGACAGGCAGCACCCCCAGCTCCCCACCACACCCCTGTTTGAGCAGCCTCTGTACCCTTGTCCAGGCTCATGGCACTGTTGTGGGGCTTGGAGGCCGCTGGCACCTGGAGAGGAGGGGTGGACCCACAGCTGGGAACAGGAGAGCCTTTCATCTAAGAGGAGAGTGTGGAGAGCAGGGGGAAGCCACAGGGCCCCCCGCTCTCCCAGCCAGGGCCCCAGTCCTTGCTCTGAAAAAGCCTCCTCACTAGCCTCAGCCCTCTGCCACGCTGACCTGCAGGAGGCCTCTCAGCTGAGTCCCACTCTGCCTCCATCCACGGGACCACTTTAGACATGGCCCTCGGCCCAGTATGACCCAGAAGGCTGACATCTCAGGCCTTGGCATCACCAGGAAGACAGACCTGGGCCTGGGCCTCAGGCTGAATAGGAGCCTTAACACTCCACAGCCTGGTATCTAACAGAGTTTGTTGCTCCCAGACTGACTCAGTTTCCCCTTTGGTAAGGCACAGCTTCTGGGGAGGCCCAGGTCAGGAGAGTGTGAATCTCACTCCCAGCTCCCAACCTGCCTGCCCCATCACCCGACTGTGCCCAGACAGGGCCTGTGGACTCCCTTAGGGAGCCTTGAGGAAGGGGCCCTGCCACTCCTTTTCTCTGGTTCCAAAGCACAGTAAATTTCCCTCAGGGCTTCCGGAGCCGGAGACACAGCTGTGCCCACCTCCTCCCAGAGCCTGAGACTCTCGAGGCATTTCCATTCTTAGAATCACCAGAGTCAGCTCTGGAAGCAGCCACCAGAGTCAAGAGAGGCCGCATCTCTGTTGGAGACTGGGTGGGAGGTGGAGAAGGGGGTACAGAGGGCCACCAGAACCCTCCCCACTGCCTGAAATGGGGCAGAAGCACAGAGGGTCACCAGAGCTCCCCCAGCCCATTTCACAGAGTGTGCACAGGCTACAGTTCAGTAACACCAACATTGGAAACAGTGAAGCCACACATGCTCCCCCAGGACCACGGATCCTGCCCCAAACACCTGGTTCGCTGGCCCTGATCCCAGGGCTTCCCCTCTGCCTACATCATGCCCTCTGCCTCAGGTCCTAAGGGCAGAGTATGGGTAAGGCTGGCTTCCTAGCTGACCTGGGGCAGGGGAGTAGACACAGGCCTGAAGGGGCTCATGCCTCCGCAGGAGAGGTCCCTGGGTGATGTTGGGCAGGAACTGCCAAGCCCAGTGACTCCAGGCCCAGGAGAAGCCGTGGGGGCTGATCTCCCAGGCCTTCCCTCTCTCTCTCTCCCTCAAACAATAGCCTGGCAGCATGTGTCCCTGCATCGCAGGCATTGTCTGACTGCCTATGATGGGGAGGCAGTTCCCTGCCTGGGCTCCCTGGGGAGCCCCTCACTGGCAGGGTAAGGTTGACAGGGCCCCTCCCCACGAGCCTCAAGCGTCTCAGGGCAGGGCACATCCCTGCCAGGAGATTGGCACCAGACAGCCAGTGACTCCAGGCCCTCACCCCACCTGCCGGGCTGCACCTGGTCCACCTGCTGCACCCTGGGCCAGGACTTTGGGGTTCCACACAGCACCTACATGGTGAACTTCGATCCCTGACAATGGCTGCCAAGGCCATACCGGTGCCAGTGTTGGGCCCTTCTTTTCTCCCCCAAACATGGCTGTTTTCAAGTGAGAGGACCCAGCAGGGCTGCTACAGAGCCACCAGCCCCCGCTGGTTACCCATCCTCACCCCACTCTTGGGGTCTCCGGCTCTGTTTAACCCTGACCTGATCTGGGCTTCACAGTGGGTGTCCAGGCCAGCCTCCTGTTGGGTCCTGCATTCCTGGAGGGTGAGGACCAAGCCAGCCCCTTTGGGTGGCCACAAGCCTGTTTGTACCCACTAGGATGGAAGACCAGTGCTGGGCTCAGGGATGACTCAGACGAGGCCCTGGAGGCTCCCAGTCTGGGGAAGAGGCCTGGCCACAGATCAGCTCACTCAAATTGATGTGTGGAGTTAGGGGGCATAAGATGCGGTGGGGTGGGCAGAGGCTCCCTTGTGGGGCTGCTCAGGGTCTCTGTGCTGGTGGGTGAACACAGAGACCCCTCCCCTAGCCTGCGGCCTGTCATAACCTCACTCAGGACCCTTAGCACATGGCCTAAGGCCAAGTCAGCATGCAGATGCTGGCGCTGGACCAGTGGGACAGGGGCAGCTGGCAGGTACCCCCATTTTGGGAGAGGTGCATGCCCCTGCTGTGAGCGTCAGAGGCCAGGTCCCTGTGGCATCGCACCCACTCCTCTGGTTTGCAGCCCCAGACATGGCAGCCCTGCCCAGGCTGACAATCGGTTATCACGACAAGGCAAGGCGGGGTGACGGCCGGCGGGGGCGGGGTCGCGCCTGAACGCCAGAGGCGTAGGTGCTACAATGGGTGACAGCCAGCCGGCTGAGAGGCGGAGCGCACGTACCTGCTTGTCCTCTGCTGGGTCAGGGTCGGGGTCCGGTCGAGGTCCGGGTCCAGGCGGGTCCAGGCCGGCGGGCGGGGGAGAGACGGAGAGACACGGTGAGAGGCGGGCGGACGGCGGGGACAAAGGCGCGCGCGGGCGCGCGGGGAGGCGCCGGGCTCACCTGGAGTCGCCAGCTTGCTCTTGTACCGCAGGCCTGTGCTCATGGTGGCCGCCGGCGGGGGATGTGCGGCGGCGGGCGCGCGGGCGGGGCGCGGCGACGAGCGTTGAGGCTCAGGCCGGGCTGCGGGGTGACCGGCCCTCCACACCCTCTCCTCCGCCCCGCCCGCGCTCCCAACAGCCAATCGGCGCCCGCCGCGCCCACGCGCGACCCAGCGCGGCCCGCGGGGGCGGGGTCCTGGGCACCCCCCCACCCTCCCGCGCAGCCCCCGGCCTTTGGGCTACGCCCTCAGCTCCATCCGGCCAGGGTGCAGTGTCCACTGTCCGACACTCTGCCCCACCTCCTCTGCCCTCCTGCCCAGGCCCAGTCTCTGACTCCCTGGGCTCTAGCAGCCCCTGGTCCTGCTCGGCCCTCTGACCATCCTCCTATGGCCCTTCTGTAAAGCATGCCCCCTGGGGTCTCGCTGCCTCATGCCAGCCCCTGCTCTGCAAACCCCCTCTGCTCTACAGACCCACAGGCAGACCTGCTACTATCCTGAGAAAGGCGGGATCCAGCAGCAAGCGGCACTGTGAAGGGAAGGCCAAGGCTTGCACCCCCATTTACGTGTAAGGAAGCTGAGGCCCCAGACCTACAATAAGGCCACGGAAGTCACAAACATGTGTGCTTCACGACCTCTCTGTCACTATCGCACTCCTGGTACCCTCGGCCTGGACCTTCCTGGAGTGCCACCAGGTGGCACATCTGGAGCCTTTGATTCCTCAGAAAGGGACAGTTGGGCCTGTGGTCACCACCTCCCCAGGTGAGGGTCTCTTGGAGGGAGGTGGCCTGATGCACCCTCCACAGTTAGGAAACCCTCTTCCTTCTCCAGCCCCTCCATGTGCCCCTTGCTCCCTCCATTGGACCGTCTGATGGAGGGGCTGGGGCTCCTCCATCTCCAAAACACTAGCACTTAGCACACAGTTGTTTTGCTTGCTTCGTGTAAAAGTCACATAAGCACCGTTGCTCTGCCAAATTCTGTGGCCAAAGCCCACCTCTCTACCCTTTCTGGGAATGGAAGCTCTGCCTGGTCCAGACCTGTGATGAGTGTGGGGACACTTCACTGCTCCAACTCTTCATCCAAAGCCTCGGGGCCAGGTGCATTTAGAATTCAGGATTCATCGTATATATTGTACACTATGTGACAACTCTCTGGAACCTGGGGCTGCACCTTGAAATCAAGCACATTTAAGATTTTTGTCATGGAGCACGATTATTCACAGGAACTGGGATAAATAAAGATCATAATAAATGCCTGCACATCAGTTCAGGTCTGGCTTTGCCGAGTTTTGAAGACCTTTAAGTTTTAGAGCTTCGGAGAA